TCCGGGTCTCTTCCTCCGCCTGGGCCTTGCGGGCTCTTCACATTCCTTCCCCACCTCCCTTCCCCTTCCCCCGCCCGGAGCCATGTCCTCCGCCGCTCGTTTCGATTCGTCGGACCGCTCCAGCTGGTACGTGGGCCCGGTGTCTCGGGCGGAGGCGCAGACGCGGTTGCAAGGGCAGCGGCATGGCATGTTCCTTGTGCGGGACTCGTCCACCTGCCCGGGGGACTACGTGCTCTCGGTGTCCGAGAACTCCCGGGTTTCTCACTACATCATTAACTCCTTGCCCAACCGCCGCTTTAAGATCGGTGACCAGGAGTTTGAGCACCTGCCCGCCCTGCTGGAGTTCTACAAGATCCACTACCTGGACACCACCACCCTCATCGAGCCTGCGCCCAGGTGAGTGCCACCCTCCTTTCGCCCCACCCACTGCCATCTTTGCTCGAGGTGGCGCAAGGAGGGAGGGGTGTCCTAGACCAGCCTAGTAGCTCCGGGATCTTACATTAGATGTAGGGCCGTGCTGCATATACTAAGGGACCATTTGTTTATGGCCCTCGTTTAAAGCTATTTCTAACAGTGGTGGTTCTTAGCACTCTGGATCTCGGTGACCATTATGGGTTGCTCTTTCAGTCAAGTCATCCATATAATGCACAGGGCCTGTCCTTACAGTGCATGTAGGCATACTTAAAGGTACTGTGTACCTCTCTACCACTGGCTATAATTGCCTTGCGAGAGGGTGTGGTCATGCTTTGTATCAACCTTTGCTTCTGGTATTGCACTTCTGTTCCTAGGGTTTGCAAATCGTCTCCTCAGTAACTGAAATACAGCCTCTCAGCTTGAGTTGCTGTCTGCCCCTGCGTCCACGCTGATTACAATACAACAGGCCTTTATGTGATTAGACTGCTTCACCCTGTTAAGTCAGCTCTAATACATTCTAGGACAGCATTTCCCAAACTTCTAGAGTGGCATTTCCACCCCCAAAAAATGTAAAACATTTATTTCTCACAGCTGGTTATGGCACTGTTCATCTATATCTGCATACTGCATGCAGTACACAGAGAAATGCTATTCTAGGAGGATGGGAAAATGTGACTTGGCTATGAGCTCATTCTTTGTCCTGTTCCCAATGTGGGATGTACCTGCAACTTGCATCAGTAAACTGCTTATCAAGAACTCTAGAACACATTCCTTATTTTTAATTAATAAAGTCTTTCCCAGTATCTTATTTCAAAGCTTTTGGGCTTCCTGGATAGAATGAACTGAAATAAAAGCTAGAGAAGTAGTGACACATTAAAAAAAGAAATTCAGAATGGTTCGCGTCTAAATTCTGCAGCTTAAAATCTTACTGTGTTTTGTAGCAAGTTCTTAGGGGGGAAGAATAACTTTGAGGTTTATAGTCAGAATTTAACCTTGGCATAGGCCAGTTCTTAAAGACCATCAGTAGCTTGTCAAACGTTGACAATAGCTTGTCAAGTCAAAAAACTCCAATGGTCAAAAAAAGTCTTTCTGTAAAGCTGTCAGATGATGGGAGGGATGTGACAGCACTGAGTTCAAGAACTCTAAAAGTTGCTGAGAAGTGTTCTGGGTGGTGATTGTGCTGTGGCTAGAGTGTGGTAGGTGAAAAAAATTATAAATAACTTTCACCATTGCAGGAAGGAGCTGCCCAGTGTAATGTGCATGCTTAAACTTGTGGACAGTTCGGAGAAAAAAGTCTACACACTTAAGCATTCTTTATGCTTGTCGTGGTTCTCCTTAACCTGGATATTGTTGTGCCTTTCTGGATGTAAAAACTTGTCCTTAATAATTTATGGCAATGACTGACTTTGCTTTCTCAAAACACTTGAAAATTTCACTGATTCCACTTGCTCAGTTGGTATTTTTAAGGAGTCTTGTGTGAAACCTTTTATGAACATTTTAGTCCCACCTTATTTTCAAGGTTTTGATTACATATTGTTCTCTCAGCATACAGAGGCCTATGGGACCTAGCCTACTGTGAAGCCTGCTGCTTTTTTATGAAGCAACAAATGCGATCGACTGGGTGGTTTTCCTTAGCATGATTTTTGTTCTAAACTCTTTTAGAAAAATCAGTGACATGGTTGATGGCTTGAAATTTTGTTTGAAGGAGACTTCCTGCTGCAGGAGGGAGGATGAGAGGTAGCATTTCCGGATTTATTCTTTTAAATTTATTTTTAGTTAATGGACTAGATTTAGAATAGGAGTGGACAGGTATGTGCTTCAGAACTGTTATTCCTAATTCTTATTTCTCTGGCATGTTCAGGGAAACATTGCATTCAGGTGCTTGTGCTTTTGAAGGTTGTTGATTCTTTTAATTAAATGAAGTACAGTGTGAAGAGGTGGTTTTTGTGGTAGGATTAAGTAGTTTGTTGTATATAGCCATGCAACAATTTTAGCTCTCTGAGATGACATTTTAAACTTGTAAACCAGTTGAAAACTGGCTGGTTTAAGCTTTCTATTTCTTTTGTGTCAATAGTGAGACCTGACCATCATTGCAGATGTTCCTGAGCTCTTGTTTATGCAGAGTGACTGCTCTCTAAAGGGTTCCCTCTCTCCCCTGGCTTTGACTGCAGACTGCAGGGTGTCTTGAAGAAGCATGTATCTTTCTGTTTAGGGTTCCTGGCATATCTTGCAAAAATTATAGGGATTTGACTTCCATCTTATTTTGCAAGTAGCAAAAGAGAATTGAAGTAGACTAATGACATGCATTCTTGCTAGTGTAGCTTAGATAATAAGTATCTGCTATGGCCTACATATGTTAAGATTTCTGACAGCTGCTTTGAATAAAATGTATAAAATTTATGATGAAAATAGATTGCAGTGAAAATAGTCTCATTTGATGAACAATCTTACAATTATCATAGACAATGAAATGACTGTATTGGACAGATGATGGGTATAGTAATAAACAATGATGTGAATAAATTAAAGCTAACATTATGGCTAATAAGGCAATGGAATATTTCTAGATGGTTAGCTTTTTCATTTCTTTCTCCATTCTTACCAGTGGATGCAAGTATTTCATATTGTCTTTTATGATGATGTCACTTTTAGGTTATTAGGTATTTAAATATGCAGTAAAGATAAGTACTTTGAAAACAAGAATTATTCTGTTATGTTATTTGCAAGTTGAAGTTGTAAAAATAAGATTAGGGAGCTTAATTCCATATTACTTTCCAGAAAAGAGGGGAAAAGTGTTATCTCCTAAAACCACGGGATCAGCCTATCTCTTTTCTTAAAGAAAGGAGTTTTCAATATAAATGTGACGAGCTGTCCCCAAAATTCTGCACGTAAGCAGTAGGATTTGGTTAGAAAGATGCTGTACTACCAATCAGAAAGACAACATTGGACTTCAACTAGCTTTGAGTTAGAAAACTGTGTTTATCGTACCCTCTGCTTACTTTTGTTCCCTTTTTCCACTGTCATCCCTCAAGTCTAGCATTTAGAGTTACTAAATTCTTTAGAAGTGGATGCTGAAGTTAAAAATATAGATGTGATGAACTGAAGAGGACTTAGTTTTCCAAGACCCCTTCCACCCCAAGTCACTCAATTTTACTTTGGTTTTATATATCATGCCTCTCACAACTTAAGCTATAGAATTAGTTTTATTCTACCCTAAGATCCTCACAACAATCCAAAACAGGTGGATGAAAATTTCACATTATTTCTCCCAATTTTCTGCATCCATGATAGATTATTACTGGGTTTCTGGGGAAGCTAATTTAAGTAATTACTCAAGAGTATGAGTTATTCATGAAATGCCTCACAGTGCTACCAAGCTAATACTTTTGTTACAAAGCTGAATAAGTAATTCTCCTCTAATTGGTGTTCCTACTGTAAGACTGGTACTTAGCTTTGTTACTGGAAATAAAAAACAAAACCTATCACTTATACGAATTTTTTTTTTTTAAATTCAGGTATCCAAGTCCACCAATGGGATCTGGATCTGCCCCTGCTATGTCCACCGCAGAAGAAAACGTGGAGTATGTTCGGACTCTCTATGACTTTCCTGGCAATGATGCTGAGGATCTTCCATTTAAAAAGGGCGAGATACTAGTAATTGTAGAGAAGCCAGAAGAACAGTGGTGGAGTGCCAGAAACAAGGATGGTCGGATTGGGATGATTCCTGTTCCTTATGTAGAAAAGCTAGTCAGATCTCACGGGAAGCATGGAAATAGAAATTCCAACAGTTATGGTATTCCAGAACCTGCGCATGCTTACGCTCAGCCTCAAACCGCAAGTCCCCTTCCCTCAGTATCCAGTACACCCGGAGCAGTGATCAATCCTCTGCCATCAACACAGAATGGACCAGTCTATGCCAAAGCTATCCAAAAGAGAGTACCCTGTGCTTATGACAAGACTGCGCTGGCATTAGAGGTAAGTTTTTCATCCTAGCTCTTATGTTTTGTAAAATAAGAAACTAAAAATTGTTCACGGCAAAGTTGGTGTGGATGACTTCATATGGAATCTGCTTATCTATGTCAAAGGACTGGGAAGAAGTTAGGTTACGTTCTGAAGAAAGATCTGCAAAAATTGCTTCATATATACCACTTCCTTTGAAAAAAAAGTGACCCAAGTTACTTCAGGACCTGTATTTACCCTCTCTTCTTGCCTGTTCAACAGTGCAAATACATTACAAGGGTAGTGGAGTGTATACATCCTGCTGTGGAAGTGCGTGCTAGGGAGAGAAAGGCTTTGCTTCTCTGCCTAATCTTGGGGAAGAAAAGAGATGTTTCATTAATCATTGCAGTATTCCAGGTTGAGAACTGGCAGTAGCATCCTTCAGAGAGAGATAAGGATTGTTGATAAACATAATCTTTCTGATCCTCAGCTGTAGTATGAGATGCGCTTGAGTATCTGGTGCTGAGAGCTCAAATCTGGGTAGAAATGTATCAGAACTTGTCTAGTCCCTTGCACTTTGGTTTTCAAAAGTGGAATTTGAGAAACCTTAACACCTAAATTGGGGGTGAGGGGGTTAGATGAAAGGCTGTAGCGTGGTCTCTAAATTTGCGTTGAACCTTTAATAAGTTCCTGTGCTTACCAAAGCATTTTTATTTTATTTTTATTAGCGATGTCTTTAAGACTTTAGAGCTTTATTCTTTAAATGGTAAAGAATTCATGTTACAATTCTAGTTTAACTGGCATAAATGAATTGGAAGAAGTTTTTAAAGCTATATCCGGAACACTGAGACTGTTACTTTTATATTTAGATTATACTGAAGGCTAGTTAACCTGTAGTTCAAAAATGTCTCACCTGAAAAAGTGCTAGCCTCAAAGATGACATTGGAGCATGCTACAATACTTCAAGGAGCAAATGCAAGGAAACAAGCTAAGGAAGCAACAGCATTTTAGCAAGTAAAATAGTAGTGGGTTTAAAAATACTTTTGAACTTCTCTGGTTGCTTTTGTTGAATTACTTGGCAAGTTTTAGCTGTTACCTATAGCTGATACTTTTGACTGAAATTTGAAAGGTTGTATTTGTGACTTCCAGTTAATAATAATAATTGCCCTAAGTGTATTTCATTCTGTACGTGTAAAACCTCTACAGGTGATTACATTTATGGGGTTAAAAGTTAAATATGTATCACTGGATTTTCCTTGAGTCTTATGAAATCTAGCAGCTTGTTATTTATGAACAGTGTGTGAAAGTTATCTTAGAGCAAAGTGTAAATTCACTGCCAACTACCCTGTACAGAAAATTCCTGCCAAATCTACTCATGCTTCTGAAAACAAAGCAAGGCAAGCGATTGATTTTGTTATGTTATTGATGTGTCATGGAATAACTTCAGGGAACTTGCTTTGCTGCAGGGTAGCAGAACCACTTTGAAGGATGGTCCTCACAGACAGATTTTTCTGACTTGCTCTTTAGTGACCTAGTTAATCCTATCATTTTAGCTACTCTAGTATACCAGTAGGATTAATTCTCTGGCCAACATGTAGGTTTGAATTGATTTGAACATTTAAATTGCTGAAGTTTTGTTTGAGAGATTCTTCTCTTCCACTGAATTCTAATCACTTAATTCCTCATGTCTTTCTGTCTTCTACCACTGGCATATTTTTGTCTTCCTATGTAGTCTGTTTTATTTGCAAGTGCACCTTAGCCACACTGTGGCTTCTCGAGGCTTCAGAAGCAGAATTCTGGGAACTGATCTACATTTTCCTTAAAATCTGATTACAGCTTCTCCATATCTATCCATGCATAGGAAACTTTAGCAACCTCATTATAGCATTAGTTTTTTGTCACATGTACTACTCTTAGAGGAGAAAAAAAAATCCAACTTCTTTTCATGATCTTCATTCACATTGCCTAACACCTGCTGGGCCCTTATGATATATTTATTCCCAACCTTGTCAGAGCTCTACATGTCACTAAATAATCTGGACCATTTGAAGCTTCTGTTTTGTAAGAGCACTGAAAGTAGTTAGTGGTAGAGAAAGAACAGGTTATGGGAACGTTTTGGGAAAGAAAGTTAATGGTGTTCTTTCAGAATAATAGTATTTGACAATACTCTACCTTAGTAGAGGTGTACTCTAAATTGCAATTCAGCTTGTACAAGTAGAATACCTTGTTAGTATAATTATACAGTGCCTGATTGTGTAATCTCATTTAAACTGATAAAACAATATGAGAGCAATGTATCTGTTTGCTGGCTCGAGTTTTGTGTGGTCAGCACACAGTACTTAAAAGGAAGAGAATACCATCTGGAGTAAATAAAGCTATTGCGTAGTAATCTGCTTGACTTCCTTTTAAGTGGAGGGATGTCATTCTCCTGGGTTCAGCTTGAACATGGGACAAGCTCTCTGCTTGCAAGTCCAGATTCTTATTGCACACTATTGCTTATATAAGCTGTCAGAAGTTTTCTTCAAGAAAAGATAAAGATTCGTAGCCTGTTACAGAGAAGTTTATTTTGTAAGGAAGGTTGGTTTTTTTTTTTTTAATTTCTCACATGAAAAATGTAACTTGTAAAACAAGTGAATATTCTGAAAATCTGCAGCAAGATCTGTTTGGTTGGATAATGATGGAGTGTTTAACTTTTCAGTAGTATTTAAAGTGTGACAGTTTAAGGGCAATTACAATGTTGTTCCTGTAAGGATACTAGTTAATATGGCATTTATTACAATTTGGACCTTGATGGGTTAAAATTATTTAGCATTCATACTGGAATCATTGAAGTGATGTATCATTTAGACATCTAAATGTTGACTTGGTCCTACTGCATTATATGCTCTGCTTTTATTCTCTAAAATAAAAAATTAAATAGTAATGTGTTTATAGGCTGAAATAAAAGTTTTAAGTATAGCTGCTATCTCAAAGCGTACAGTTGGTATACATATAACTTGAGGCATGTCCTGCACCAGTGAGCAATTAGTAAAGCCTACAACAAATTATATGTATTTCTAAGATTTACATATACTGTTGTCAGTTGAGTTAGTTACCTTGGAAGTTCAAATTTAATGTTTTTAATGAAATGATAGAATTCTACAGTTTCTCACTATAACTAGCTATACTACTAATACATGTAGTATTTTCAAGGATTCTGCATAAAAAAGCCCCCGAACAACCAAACCACCCAAGAAAAACCCAAACAAAAAAAAAAAACCCAAACCCCACAAAAAACAACCAACCAACAAACAACCACCCAGATCTGTTTCTTTACTTGTGTGCTTTTAGCCAAGAAACAATTTCCTTCCTTTCTGTTGCTCTAGAGGAAGGAATATGAAGGACAGGGATACAGTGTCCTGTATTTATTGGGACTAGAACTCTACATTGCAGGGTTATGTACTGCTGTTCTTCAATCCTGCTTTTCTTTGGGAAAACTAGGGGGGCAATCCTGTGTTCAGAGGTTATACAGGATAGCACTTTAAGAAGGCAATAAATTTTATAAGAGCAGAGATTCTTTGGCACTGTTACTATGATACAGAGCAGTGAAATCTACCGTAAAGTTTCTCAGCATTTAATAACCTGTAGTTCTATAGCCAGCCTGTTAACAATAATATGCTAAGGAACCCTTGTTTTAAACTGGCATGTTCTAACCATGATGCGTACGCAGTGACCAGTAGACTAAGGCCTGGTATGTTTTACCTTAAAGGAGCTTATCTCTTGGTAGCTGGATCCAAAATAGTTGATTGATTGCTAACTTCTACGCAACAAAGTTCTTTATGTCCAGCATAGTCAGTAGATAAACTAATGATGGATAATTTCCTTAAAATTTAGTGAACTGTTTTCAAGGTTGATTCAGGACGTGAACAACAAATTCCAAATTCACTTATAAAATGGAATTAAATGGCATAAGGAGCCACAAAATGGGAGACCAGCAGCAGCCACTAGACGTATGTCTGCTGTGTGTTTAAAAATTGGTTCTTAAATATATTGCAAACACTGTAATAAGTGTCAGAGACCATTGTGAAAGCAGTAGTGGTCCTAGCATTCATCTCCCGACTTAATGTGACAGTGTTATAGAATCTGAAGATATTTTTTTTTAAACACAAGCTTCACTATATTTTTATAGCAAAGTTTTTATACTAACGATGGCTTTTTCTAGACCTGTCCAAGATTATAGTATTAAGTAGTTTATCTGTTCATGATATATCAAACATATACATGTATGCTAGTACAGAGTTAACCTGTCACTGAAATGGTTTGGTGAAATAAATATCCATTCACCATAATTATATAACTGACTTAAAATATTTCTTTTGAGTTTGTTACAATTAGGTTACAGTTAACTTTCTTCCTCTTCAAAGGAAAGTTGAGACAAGTAGGCCAAAATGTGCTAGTAGTAGAACTTTCTTAATTAGGAAATTAGGCTACTTTTTTCACTAGACAACAGGCATTGAGCTTTTCTTAAGCCAAGGAAATTTCGTATTGCCATGTTAAACATTAAAATGCATCTAACCCACAAGGTGTAGATTTTAAGCAAAATATTGAGCCTATACTTCTGAAGTGTAAAGTGTTAATCGGGAGCTTTAGTTCTGGTAACTAAAGTGACAGTGGCAGCAGGATTCCTGTGTCTGTGCTAACACGCACCAACTTTTCAGTATGCTACCTTTGAAAATACAACTGACAGTTACTTCAGAGATTTTATGTGCAATCTTAATCTTTGTAACTTCATTTTCCAGTCAAAGTTATTGACAGTTCCCATCATGATAGTGCTGAGTGCCTCACAGTTTAATATACATTCATGCTCGGAACTGTTTGCAGAGTTTGTTTTCAGATGAAACTGAAAGCAACATGGATAGCCTCGACAAGATCCTGTGCTACAGTGAGATTCAGCGTGGCTCAAGAATGATGGTCTATGGGAGTTTTGAGCTCTCCAAATGCTGTACAATCCTGACAGCTGGCTTAATCAGATTGAGACAGGCTACCATTATTTAAGGAAATGCAGCACTTTACCTGTGGTGCTGCAACCCCAACTCTGGCAATTGTCCTAGTGATACTTGAAATGCAAAATTTTATTGTTTTACTCTGTTCCTAGATGAGGCTAGATTAACTGCATCTAGGACTTCAACATGTCTATGCTGCCCTTTGACCTGCTTTCATGTCTCAAAAATGGTTGGTCTTTCCTCTGAACTACTTGATTCTCTGGTTTGGGCATCCACTATTGGTTCTTCTGGCACACAACATCAGAAGTGAAAGATAGTTATGCTGTGCTTTCAGCCTGTTGGTTTCTTGAATCTTCCAATATGTAAAGCACCTGCTACTTCAGTCTCACGTTGTCCTGTTTGCAGTGCGACTGCACTCTGCCTCTTTTGTGTAGCTCAGCTTTATACCTTTTTGGGACAATAGGATATCAAGTAATTTTTTAGTGTTGAGCCTTGTTTATTCTCCTACAGAACAAGCAGCTGATCTGAACAATTGTCTTGATTTTGGTAGTAATGCTAGTGTCACCAAAGAAGGTGAGTTGTGACACTAATTAGGATAATGACTGAGGTTCAATGCCCTGTAAATTCCAGAGAGCAGTATGTTTTCTATAGCTATTGACCCAGTGGGCTAAAGTGATGATTTAGAGTTTTAATGCATTTTTATCTCTTTAAACTTATATTACAGAACTCTATCAGCCATAGAACTATTAACATACAGTTGTTGGAATATTTGTAAAACACGTTGAATTGGTTGACTGTGTGACTAAAATGGCATGCAGGAAACCTTTTGCAGTGTATGAATCAGCTTCAAATGGAAGACAGGTATGGAAGAGTCTAGAGCGAATGAAGTAACCTTTCTGACTGGCATGTTCCACAGCTTGTATTTCCCCAGGGCTTTGAATTCATGCTGTAACAGGGACATAATAAAAGGATGCTATCTAAAATACGTTTTGATTTTTATCATTTGGGTGGAACCAAAAGGCTGCATTTCAGAAGTATTACTCATTTCAGCAGTTGATACTTCCATCCAGCGATGCTGGCATGCTTTACAAGTGAATTAACTTATCTGAGAAATGCTGAGACTAAGGAAGTATTATCCTAACTTATAGATAAGGGCCATGAGCTGTCCAGAGTCATACAGGAAGTTTGTGGTAGAGATGAGAATAGAACCAGGTCTCCTGACTCTGTCCTGTGCCTAATCATAAGACAGTCCTTCTGACTGGCTTAAAACCTTCTCTGAAAAAAATAGTGTGTTAAATAATTTTAGTGGGAGATCACACCTCAGCTGACCATATTACAGATGCTTTAAAAAGCATTTATCAAATACTGCTTTTAGTTAGTGTTTTGGTAAAAAATACCTAGAGGGACTACTTGATCAGATTCTTCTAGACATTGCCAAAATGAAGGTCTTTAACATAAGATCCGTGAATTACTCTGTTATGACATCAAGGTTCCTCTCCAAAAATTTTGTTTCAACATGCTGTTTCATTTAATCTTCTCGGGGGAACTGCATTTTTTAAAAATAATATAGAATAAGAGCATACTTAGAAGCTTTCATTAAAAAACACTCAAAAAGTAAAGTTACTGCAAATCAATTTACTATTCTGGTGGTTCCTGGTGTATGGGAGTATTTTTGAGTAGCTTTTGTCAGCTAGCACTCTAATGGCAGATACTGATTTGTAGCCACTGTGCCCACCCAGCAGTCTACAAAACATTTTACATTGAAAAATTAATGCTATATGTACGTGCTAACTACCATGGGCAGTGTACCACTACTTAATAGTATATGCTGGCTTCATGTTTAAGAACAGTAAAGATGTCCATTTAAGAAAGTAACATGGTCTCAATTCTATCCCAAGAACTTACAGGGGTTCAGAGGTTTTCTCCTCTTAAAAGCACAAGATTACAATTGTCCCAACTGTGACAGTCTTGAATTTGGGAGGTGGGGGAGCAGATGGGACACAAACAACCCTACAAATAGTGGAGGAAAAGTAGGGGGGAGCAACATATTTTGCTTAAATGCCTAATTTCATTCTAGTATGCGACATAAAGCTTAAATCTCTAAAAATTTCAAAATTTGAGAAAGTTTATTTTAAGAGATACAACAGGGAGTGATTGCCAATGAATTTATTATAGTATCTTAAACTTCACTTCAGAGTTCTTGCTTCTGAGTGATCTTCAAAAAATATCTATTTGAGTAATGGTAACTGGTTTAAACAGGCTTCAGATCATCTGGTGACATGCCCACTAAACTCAAGGTGTCTTTCTTTAACAGAAAACATACAGGTCTTACCTGAAGAACTTTAATCTAAGGTCCTTGGCCAAGGTCCTTAAACTATCTGCATCAGTTCTAAATTTTAATACTATTTAGATAATGTAGATAAATTGTTATACATACTGTATCAGGACTAAAATCTACTTTTTCCTTAAATAAGGAGATCAAAGCAAGTTACCTTTGGATTTCACAGAAGTAGCTTGGTAAGCTGAGACTCAACTACAAAGAACTTGGACCTAGTTTAGGGAAGAAGCTTACAAACTGTTTGCCATTGGTCATAGGCTGGTTCTACTTTTTATGAAATTGGTTATTAGCTGCTAATGTCGCTTTTCTAATATTTACTATAGTTCCCACATAGAGTAAATGAAGTAAAGAGGAAGGGAGGTGTAAAGGCAGAAAGGTGCTGCAAGAGACCACATGTTCAGCTATTCTGAAGCATTTAAAGGGAGAACTAGTTAGTTAGTTTTAAATGCTGCTTGTCACATTGGATATTTTGCTTTGTGAATTGTCCTAATCCAAATTAAATACAAGCATTGAACAATGCTAAGAGTGTAACTTATCATTTGGGCTGATGTTTCTTGATCATAGTTTAGCTGTTCTCATCTTTCACTGCCAAATAGGAAGAGACAGAGTTATGGTAGGAAAGGCCTGACATGTCATCATTCCTGTTTCAAATTCTTGGCAGGAAGCAGAGGTGAAATCAACAAATAAAGCTAGAATCTGTCATCTAATACTTTAAAAAAAAAAAAAAAAGGTAAGTTTAAGATTGGTTTTGCTTTTTTTCAGAAGCTTACCATTATTTTAGAAACTGCAGAGCTTCTTAGACTGTGATAATCAGAACTAGACCTTCAAGTAATGGTTTCTTTGCCCTAGGAATCTCTCTTTGAAAAAACTAAATTTCCTTTGAAATAAACCAGCTGAGGCTAAAACCACTATGAGTACCGTGCTTTTTTGAATGGATGTTGCATGTCATTACTGATGGTGGCTTTAGTGATGTTGATTTATATCTAAGCTAAATACATTGTTACATGAAGGTGTAAGCTTTCCTATAGGAATAGGTGTGGTTGAGCAATTTGTCTGAATATGTAAATATACATTTAGTTAATGTCTGCACTTTTTCAGACTCTTGTCATGTTTAGCAGCAAAATGTTGGTATTTTAGTCAAGTAAAAGTAACTTTTCTTTTCAATTGAACCTTATGCCAAGAAGAGGGTGGGGTGGCTTTTTTCCCTGTGATGGGGTTGTATGTGTTGTTCATCTTAATTTGATTTTTATTTGTGTCAGAGGTGAGACTCCTATGTGTGATAACTTTTTTTTTATTATGCAGGTTGGAGATATTGTGAAGGTTACAAGGATGAATATAAACGGTCAGTGGGAAGGAGAAGTCAACGGTCGAAAAGGGCTGTTCCCTTTCACGCATGTCAAAATATTTGACCCTCAAAATCCAGATGAGAATGAATGATTCCCTCTGCCCAATTTACACTGCTGCTTCATTTTCCTGGCTATCATTAGCATTGTTTGAGGTGGGATGATGACTTAATGGCACATTGCTAGCATTGCCCATTTTCCAGCTTGCTGCAGTTTGATGGTTCTTTTAATACACATTTGGAATACATACAATTGAAGTCACTGCCTGACCTTCATACCATAGTTGTGTCATCCAGAATTTAGTTTCACATTTAAACCTCTATTGGGCCTTAAGCTGGAGAAGACTGAACCCGTATATAGCAGAGAAGTATGAGAAGAAAAACCTTTCCTGTTGAGACTTCCATGGACTTTTTCTGGCTTGCTCAGTAGGAAGAGCCCTAATCTTAGATCAAACATGCAACTTGTGCATTACTGTCCAACAAAAAGCAACAACAAAAATGCAATTTTAGGACTGAAGAAGACTTACTTAGTTTTAAGAGAACCTGTCCTAAGGTAGTACATTTTAAATGATGGTCTCTTCAAAGGACAATAATTGAAGCTTATGTATTCTAAGCAGTTGTATCAGAAGCTGCTCTTTTCTGTTAACTCTTAAGCTTGTTGTTGACCTTCCTGAAACTGTGTGTGTTAAATGCAAATAACCATTGATTGAACTGCATTGAAGCTGAGGCATTTATTTATAAGGAAACTTAGGAGGGGTTGATACTTGTAACCTGGTTTTGACATATGTAATGCATTTCTGTTGATTTTTTGCAAGCACTAACTGTAGAAAGTGAGCTTTAAAGGGAAACACTTAGGCCTGGTCTATATACAGCTCTTCTGCAATGCTGAAAGTGTAGTTTTACTAGTATGGAAGTGCTTGTCACCAAGCTGTTACTGGTAGACTGACTGATCAGAGTGCATAGTGTGGAGAGGAAGGAAAGGAATGGGACAGAAGACCTTGGTAAATACTGATAAAATCCTCTTATTTAAACGTACACCTCTTATACCCATTTCTCTGCAGGCTCCCTTATCGCTCCAAAGTTTCCTAGCTATGCCAGCCCCAGCTTATTAAAAGCTCCTTTTCAAACCCAGTACCTTTTTTCTAGGGTGTCTCCATGTTGCTGTGCTTCTTTTCCAGAGCTGCTTTCATCATCTTTTTTTTTCTCCCTCTTTTTCCTTGCTTGCATCCCAAGTCCTCTGCATGCTACCATCTCTTTTTTTTTTTTTTTTTGAAACCCTTCCAACTGAGTTGACTCTGGTTTATATATGCCCCAATCCCTCCCCCTCCCAGCATCCTCTAGAAAATGGTTAATTGGGGTCAGCTGCCTGGGTTCCCCCATGTGAGAAATTAATGCTCAGGCTGGAGGAGGCCACAAAGGTGTTTGTTATCAGTATAGCTTCTTCCCTTTTTCTGTACATAAGCTATACTGCTGTAATTGTACTTACAGTAGGGAACTGTATGGCTGCAGCTAAGTACAGATCATGCCATGCAGGTTAAGTCCTTAGCCTGTGTACAGGATATGAAAGCTTAGGTACGGTGGTATCTTGTGCCGCCACCTTTAAAATGTGTTTTGTAGGTGACCTGGAATGTTCTTTTAAAAATAATGGAACACTGAATACTACTACAAAGCCTCCCTTTTCAGACAGCCAGGTTAAAGAAAAATGTCTGTTGCAGAAGCTGACAGGAAAACAGCAGCCCCCATCTTTCAACTTTTGAAGGCTGTCAACTGTAGCAAAATGAGAAACTTCAGACACCCGCAGAATCTCACCTATTCTTATAAATGTCAAATTATATAAAAGTTGTCTTAAGTTCCAGCATGTTTTCTTGTTGATTTGTATTGCTTGATCCTAATAAAAGCACGTTGTTCTTAGCTCATGTGAAAGTGCCATGCGCTCCTTCGTTGGAAGGCACTGAAGAAATACAAAAATAGCATTTGCAACAAGATAGTCAAAGTGCCGGGGTTTTTAAAGAAGTCTCTCTGTTCATCTATTAGCTATTTTCTGTTGTAGTGATCAAGTGGCTGACAGTCGTCTAGAAGTTCTTGTAGAGCATTTTACTGCCAAATTAACTGTGAAGTAGAGTAGCATTGACTGAAGTGTTTGGTGCTGTAAGAGTAATTCTTGCCAACAGGCATTGACATTTTTGTCTTGCAAAGAAAAGCTATGCAGCTCTCTCAACTGAAGAAGGTCATGCTTCTTCTGTGCCCCAACTATGCCCATAAGTTTACTACATAGATTGTACTACTGAAAGTCACCTTTTGAATACAGAAACTCCACTAAACTCAGTCTGCTGCAGAGAAATCTTATTTCAGACCTGACCTAGTTACAGGCAGCTCTTCAGAAGACTGATTGTAGAATTCTTCCTTTGCACAGTAAATAAATACTGTGAGATTCAAGATCTTGAATACAGCCTTTAACCTCGATTTTTTTTTTTTCACTGAAATAAATGTCCTGACTCATTCCCCTCATTGAATAAGGTATACACTTTAAACACAAGCATTGTTTTAGGTTTAATTATGTTCTGATACTGCAGAAAAGCAAAATATATTGCCTTCAAAACTATGCAAAATTTGTGGATAGTGGCATCTGATGCAAAGACAAGAATTCTTAAATTTCTGTGAACCTGGTTTATAGGCCATGGATGAACAGTGTTTCTCTGAGTAGCAGCATTGTGGTTCAGGTGTGTTAAATGTGGCTTAAATGTAGCATACTGACCAGTGTAAGTCGATTGTAACATTGCTTCAAAACGTGTCTTTGCTATTTTACTATAAGACAAGTATTTTCATATAAAGATTGCATTTGATCAGTTTGTGTTTCTCTTTGAAGGACTCTGGATTCTCAATCGCTTGTTGCTTGCTTACACAGGTGTCGTCTGTTGCTTTATGAAGCCTCTTAAATTTGAGTGATAACCTATCAGTGTAAATGTTCCTTGAGCGTGTAAGGTATACTTACTATGAAGCATGAGAGGCTACAAGTGATGGCTTCAATCTATGCACCATTAAAGTCATTCTTGCTTTTGAACTGGTTTAATTACGTGGTGCCACTATAGTTAACTATCATGAAAGGCTCACTGTTCGACTTCCTCCTGTTGTGTACATGTGTATATAGACACTGAAGCTTCTGACCAGTCTGAAGGTTTAAATGAAAACTGTTTTAATCAGTGTCCATCACTGGATAAGCGCTAATTTAATTCATGATTGTTTACAAATTGGGAAAGAATAAACAAAAGGGAATATCCTGTTTGGGTTGGGGCTCTGAAGAGCCTGAGCATTATTTTTGTAAAGGGAAAAACAGTGTTCTTTCTTTGTGCCATTTCATGTGCCTGTAAAGTAGTTTTTTATATTGTATTAACATCCTGGGAACGAGTGGGCTGCCTTTGTTTTCTAGTCAAGTTTTCAAGCATTTTCCTCAATACCTGCATTTGGAAATGAGACCTGCCTAAAAGACTGCCTGCCTTCTGGGACCAGTGAAAGCATTCTCTCGTATAGCTGTCATTTTCTGTTTACCTGTGTTAAATGGAAGTGTGTTTTGGGACAAGGATACAATTATTGCAGTGGGAAAGGTGGCCTTGTATTTGAGACAGTCTTCACTGTGTAAACTTTAAAACACAATATGTAATTTAAAGACCATGATCTTCAGGCAATAATATTAAAGTGTAAGCTTTTAAAGTTTATTTTGGGGATCATAGCTTGTTTTATTTTTTGTGCTATGAGATTAACAGTATTAAATGAATTATATTCTTAGAATATATGGAGTCTCTTTTCTTAAGATTAGTGCCTTTTTAATTTCTTACTCCACTTAATTCATAGAACTGGTCCCAAGATCAAGCCACTGGTTTGTGTGGTTCCCCCCCCCCCCCCCCCAC